TTTTCTCGTCTTTGACTATATTGTCACTTATGTACTTGTTCGTCGAGGAAGAATGGACCATAACGAACACATAGTATCAATTTTTGTTGCATGGGGTTGAGTTAGATGCGAAATATGTTCGTTCTGGTGTAGCTGGTCACCGTGATCGTCACCGACACCGGCGCACGTTTGTACACTGTCGTTGGACAAAATAGAATTTGACGTCGGAATTATCTTGTTATTTAGCAGGTTACTAGGCACGTCACTACACTGTTTTATTTCATCGATTGTCTGAGTAAAACTTTCAAAATTAAAATAAAAGAGAACATATTTTGACATTCTAAACATTAGACTAGAGTGATCACTATAAATAAATCAAAAAACGACAAATCACAGTTACTAAATAAATTACAGCCGCGTGGAAATAAATTGACATTTTGTTGAAATAGGTGAACGCATCGGGTCACGGCGAGGGCAAGTGCGTTAAAAGCGGCGTTTAATTGGATAACAAAAATAATCGAGATCGACGCACATACAGATAAATTCAGAGTGGATTCGAGTTAGCGTGATCCATGGCGTGATTGTCATAATTATAACATCGTATAAAAATAAATTAAAACTTTATTTGTTGGAAACACATTGACCAAGCCCGGATTCTTATTTCATAAATTATTACGCAGATCAAGCTGCAAGCATGGAGGTAAAAAAGAACAGAGGTGTGAATTCGACATTCAACACCAATCACCAAACAATTCAGAAATGTTTAGCCTTCGAAAATGAAAACAGTTAGCAGTGTGTAAGGGCTGTGTAATTTCCTGTTTGTCCGACGCTTCGTTTTCGTTTCACTGTCAAAATTATTGCTACCTTTTACTTAACAGGGACAAAATGGTCTCTATAAAACGATAATCAGAATCGCAAAAAAAAAGTCAACTGATTTGAAACACTTGCCGGACGTCTCTCTCTCTTCTGAAATCCGCCTCGATGATCATGGGCTGGTCTGGAATCTATTTCTATCAAAAGTTTTGCGCCAGGTATACTTTGTCGGCGTTTCTCTTTAAACCTAGTCGTTTTTTTCATTGACGAGGACAGTTTTTCCCCAAAAAAAGAATCTAAGGTTAAGTGATGTCCACCTTCGGATCGATTAGAAACGTGTGAATACATACACTATGACTATACGTTTCACTGCAACTGCCCACAACACAACATCTAAAAACTCTCTCTCTCTTAAAAAAAAAATAAAATAGACAAAAAAAAAAGAAAAAACGCCGACCGAAAAATGTATATCGTTTAAAAGTATACTGAACGACCAGTGTTATTACGGCTCAGTGGTATGACTTCCTCTCACATTTTGTCATTTGGTGGCGCACTTTCGGCGAGAGTCGGAAATCCGGAAACAGTCGACCGTTTCATGATAGGTGGGCGTGGCTACAACACGAGAAATATCCCAAATTTACTTGGATACGAGTAATCATTTTCAGCAAAAAAATTAATAACTACCCATTTCAGTGGGACACAGATCTAAAATGGGAAACGTGAGGGTGGGCATTGCACGGGCACTTTAACATTGTCGTCTATGGAAATTCAATTAGTGGTATGAGCCCTTTAATCTTCCGCGTTGACGCGAAATTATCACGTAATGTCCACTGCATATCATGAATAATTAATAACAATGAATACGTCTCAGAATAGACCAGTCGTGGTAATTTCGCGTCGGACAACTATTCATTTTTTTTATAAAATTGCCATGGCTAGGCCGGGCCAGTCTCGGTACTTGTTTGTACGTCATAGAATAAAAACAAAATGGCGGCATTCGTGGAGTCTCGACTCGGTGGACTACACGTTTCTATCAAATTTATCAGTATTTTCATATTTTGGATTGACAATTCGTGTTTCTATGATCGACTGTGATATTGTAAAAATGAAATATGCAACATTAATATACTGTACTTACCTATTTACCGCTCAAATGAGTAATTTTAACTCTCATAAATACGCAGCAAAATAATTTAAAACAGGGTGTTTCTTTTCGTAAACTATTTCCGTGTACTTTGACCTCAGCACGTGACACACGAGCAATGGAGGACACCAGTGATGGTTTTCAAGTCGTTCGTCACAAACGAAGAAAAAAGAAAGCGCCGGCGACAGATTTTGTCAAATCAAAACCCTCTTTAAATAATGTTTCCGACACTTATGATACAGTAGTTAGCATTGAAATATTCAAACGACGAATCCGTGACTACGAGTAAGTTGGTTACTTTCTGATTCGATTGAGTTTATTTTAAGGTCAATGATGTCAACTTTTCGGGGATTTTTGGAGTAATTGTAAAATATGTTTATTCGACTACGATTCTTCAGTTGTCTCACAGTTACAGATATTCTCAGATATGTAAGGCGTATGACTCTGGATGTTGAAAAAACACGGTTACCCGATGAGACACCACTTGATTGCCGCCGGGCTGTAAAGATGAAGTGATCGCGGCCAATGCGAGACTTGTTAAAATATTATAAGTGGCCGATGCGATGGGTGTTTAAATAATAAGTGGGCGTGGTCAATTAATTCTAATTCTTTTAGCTATTAAAATTACTGTTTTCAATGTTTGTTTTATTAATCTTGGGTTACGGTGTATTTTTATTTTATTATGCCATTTTTTCAGACTTGAAATTGAAAATAGTGAATTCTTTGAACATTTTAAAAGTAAGTACCAATTAAATTTCATTGTTTTAGTTGTTTAGATGTGAATTTATTTGAATTAATTAATTAAAAGTATTTAGAGTTTATTCATTGCTAATACCAAAGATGAGGTCTTGCAAGAAGCAGTTTTTTGAGCACTCACGTAACATGAGAAAAATATCAATACTGGTTTGATGAATATTAGCTTTATTTCTGGTATTTGTTGTGAATGACCTTTTCATCAATTGTGCAACTGCATTCGCAAGAAAAGTGGCAGAGAGCACAGTGTCAGTGTGCATACTTCAGGATGCATAAACATTACTGAAGGGGGGCAAGGGGGGTTGCTGGTCCAGTTTTACGGAAAATAAAAAGGGCTTTTTACAATTTACAAGGAAAAAAAAGACGTTTTTACATTTTACGGAAAATTAAGAAAGAAAACCTAGAAAATTCTTGTACGTACCGAGAAAAATTATACATTTTTACAGTGTACGAAAAAAATATTTGATTGATTACATTGTACGTCTAGCCTGTGACTACAGAATTACGGAATTTATTTTTTCAATTTACGTTGTACGAACAAAAAAATATTGCAATATTACGTTGAAGAAAATAACCCTTGCCCCCCTCATTACTGTTGTGAAATGTGCAAATATTAGATGTGGGAATTATTGTGCAACATTTAACTATTTTTGCTTTTCAAATTAAAACTATATAGCGATAATAATTATTTTCTGATCTAGCAGTAATAAGTAAATTTGAATTTGTTATGTAAAATTTGCAACAAATGTTGATTGTACGTACAACTAGTTTATCCACATTTGGGAATTGAATCACTCAAGAATGTTACCATGTAATGTTCTGAAGATGTCATGTCCTTGATTTGGAGTGATGTGTGGCATTGTTATTTGTTGACCAGGAAAATAACACATCGTCAAATGATATTGCATGGTATGGATTTATATCAACAAACTATTGCTGCAGGTAAAACAAGCCATGCATGGCACAGTCCCCATTGTTATCGAATTTAAGATATATAGTTTTGTTCATAGTAATATGGCTGAAATATAAACATGTCAGGAATATGATTATGATGATTGTTTTACATTAAAATGGTTGACATTTGTATCTGATACTCAAACGAGTATTGAGAGATATTGCTCTGGAACAACATTAATTAAAACAAAATCAGCCATTTTGAATACATGTATATATCTATAACATGATGTACAATGAATATATAAAATTTGAACATAATCAGTCAAACCATGTCAGAGATATGGCTCTAGAAGCCCATTCATTAAAACAAAATGGCCACCAGTCAGCCATTTTGAATCCGATCAGAAAAATAAAATGATGTGCATCGGGAATTCGTAATGTCTAATGTATGTACCAAGTTTGAACAAAATCTTTTCAGAAATGCCAGAAATGCTTGATATTTGATGATTTTTTAGCACAAAAATGACCACCATTCGACCATTTTAAATAGGATTGTCAAACCAGTCAACAGCTGACTGCAATTCATATTTATAACCATCGTACCTAAGCATTAGTGGATTGACAGTCAACAGCTGACTGCAATTCATATTAAAACCATCATATCAATTGCGTTTTTTGAAATTGATATGCACTGTACTCTCTGCTTTTCATTTTTACTTTTTAAATTGTTATAATTTTGTATTTTCATTTTTATGAACTTTTTTCTTTGTTTTTATTCTATAATTCAGACAAAACTCTGTAACGTGCCAATTTATAACTTTGACACTGGCATAAACTTTTTGTTTAAATTATCTAAGACAATGATTTACATTGTACATGGACCATATTTACTCTATTATTAAGTGCCCTGTTAAAACTAGTAAAATGTCATCATTGCTTTTCTACAGCATGTTGGTATTCAGTGATTCAACATTTAGCAGTAATCAAAGACGTTATCTCAGACAGATCAAATCTTTTGAGTTCATCATCCATAGAAATATCAACTCCTACAAATATGAACTCTAATGATAATTGTCAACATGATGTTTATGATATTGTATGCTATGGACTTGGCAACTTTACACTATGTCCTATTGCAAGATATCAGTTTGCATTTCTACATCTGATGACAAAGTTTCTACAGGTAATAATTATTGCAAAGGTAAACAATTTCACTGACAAATAAAAGAAACATGTCTCAACTACTGTAAAATACTTTATTTTCGCTTGGAGTTAAATTTCGCTGAAGGAATGATTCAGTGAAAATAAAATCCAGTGAATACACCTTTTTCCTATAATTTACATTCAACTCGCCAAATATCAGTGAAAATTCCACACAAAACACTAAAAGTCTTTTCAGCAAAAATTTAATTCCAGCTAAAATAAAGTATTTCACAGTATTGCTACTTACATGTGTAAATAAAGTCATACATGTATGGTGCTTTGCAGTATTATTCCCATGGTGCATTGCAGTACTGTGGCAGTAAACATTCTGTGTTTTCTTTTATGCATGGTGATTCACAGTTATGCAGTGTTATACAACTTCAAAAAGTCTAAACCCTGAATCAACCATTTGAGCACCAAGTTGACTATTGTGACAATATCTTTTTTCACTTATTTTTTCAAAAAACCATGAAAATTATGCACATTTGGTCCAGTATTAACAAACAAGTTTTAGGATAATACACAGAAGGGAAAAATATGGTACTCAATGTGGCAAAGGGCAAATTTTTTTGTTTGTTTTTTTATTACCAGATTCCTGGGCAGTGTTTTGTGTATGATCCAAAATTTACAGAAGAAGAAAAAATCATTCTAAAAGATTTGGATTTCCATGTTATTGACAAAAATGAGGTTAGTTATAATATTTATATATTTTCTGTAGTATCTCTCTGTCCAGCGGCTGGATATAGAAAAAAATGCCTGGTCAATATTTTATTAACCTTATTAAACATCAGTGACCTGGATCAAATCTTTGAGGACTTTGATGAACAATTTAAGATATCATAATTTGATTTCAGTGTTTAATTAACTGAGCTGATTAATTTATCATTATAAGATATTTAAAGTGTCAATAGTTATGATTTTGAACATGTTTTTGTTTAACTATAACCACATAAAGATGACCAAATCTTAATTACTGAAATATCATTTTATACAGTAATAAAAACATCAGTGACAGGCCCTTGGTGAGTTGTCATTTTGTACTATAACCCTAGCGATTTGTTTGACAAAATTGGATTTCAACAATGCACCCTCTTGAGATCTGGACGCAATCTCATGGCTATCTTTTTCACTTACAAATGATCTGATGTACAACATCTGTATATAGCGTATATGTTATGCTTTCGGTGTCCATATCATGGCCATTACAAATTGACAGTAATGACTCTGGAAATTCTTTACTAAAAATAAAAATTGGAGAAAAAAAGACTGATTATAAAAACAGCTGTTTATCGCCACTTTAAACAGTATATTCCTTGATGACTTAATTACTTCTTCATTGTTTTGTTTGGCATTGAAATTTTGTATCAGTTTATTCTTTTGATCATATAGTTGAGAATCTTCACAGCTAAAACTCTTTTGCCATAAGACAAGAATTTACTGAAACTTTGCTAAATTATTCTTTGCGACTGGCTGTTTTAATTTCTGAATAAAAAAAACTTTAGGTAATCGAACTAGCTGTTGACTCCCGTGTTTGAAGCACACAATGCTATTACCCTGTCTATTCCACCATCATCTTAATTTCTAATCATATTTCACTGAACTTGATAAATACATCCTCTGGGACAATGCACAAACCTGATTAGTTTTGGGTTAAAATCTGTGCATATTAATTACATGTGTACCTAATTTGTGTAATAAATAACGTGATATCTCAAGAACCAATTCATTGCATTTGAATAAAACTTGGTGTATACCTAGTAATTAAATTTGTCCTAAAAAATATTTGATAATTTTTTTAAATTTTGAAACCAAATTAAGGGCCCACCAGCCGTGAAATCGCCCATGGCAATTTTTTGGATGGGCCAATTTACAGCAGAATCCGATAATTATCATATCCATCCTTAATTTTACTAGGCAGAAATACATGTAAAATATAATTGAACCTTTTCTGAAATTGAATTAATCATATTTATATTGGAAATGTTTTTGTAATTTCAGGATTGAATAGTATTTGTGAAGACAAAACTTTGTGTGAATCATCGCCACTCCATGTTGTGGGAGCCCTAAGAAATTTTCACGATTTTCAGTGAATTGCAAAATTCACAATATGTTTCTTGTTAAATTGAAGAGTTTTACAATATATGATTTCTGAGAGATTTAGTAAACATGACTTTTATAACTAAATGACTATCACATATATTTGAGTTAAATACCTGTCAGTTACTAATAATTCATAATTTTTGTGCGTTCCCAAGTATTACAAACTATTTATCGCCTCATGATGAGCTAATCATTTTTTCCTTAATTGTAGGAGTGTAAAAGACCAATTAATAGAAGTACTGTGTTCCATATGCCACACTGCGGGAAACCCATGTATAACAATCTACTCTGGTCAAACTGGTCTTATAATGCACTTCAGTATTTGATACTTATCGGTAATAGTTTTAATAGTTTAAAATTAAGGTAAGTACAAGGAAATACCAACCGTTAGTTAACATTTCACCCATTGACTCCAATACCATTCATATCAGCTATTTGTTTAGGCTTCAGCAGAAGATAGGTGTTAATTCCTCAGACTTTCTACATGCTTCTTTCTGTTGATTAGCTTAATTCCTGTCAGAAAGTTCTGACTGACTTTTATTTGATTAGTCATTAAATTGGTCAGATTGAATGGGGGCAATATTATACATTTATAGTGACTGGGGGCCTCATTAGATTTTAATCAGGGAAGCATGAACCCATATCTCAGATATGCCTGGATTATATTCAAAGTACCAGATTATGATGTAATGTATTGGGTTGGTATTCTTATGTTTGTATTTGGTTTATGGAAAAATGGATGTTGGCTGTGCATCTGGGCTGTGCATGTAAGCTGTCGATCCAGGCACTCATCTTGTACAGTCAAACTTGTGTGTGTATACATGTATATAAGGAGATCAAGGCAAAATGTCCTGGAGAGACAGTTGCATGGTTATTGGTAGTTGATTAATTATTTGGCGCATACAAATACTTTTTCTGTTTATTTGATGGGCAAACATTTTGCCTCTTTGTCTTCATTATAGTGAAAATGTCAGTATAGAGACTCCTATAAAACAACAACATGCAAAACATTTTCTATCATTTTGGCCTTTACACACAGGTTTATTTGACCAAACCAAATCACACTAGGCAGGCTGTCTTTATATAAATGAAATGTCAAACTTAATATGTTCTCAGGTTTCCTAGCAGAATTCTTCAAAATGAGGTTCCATACATACATCGAGTATCCTTTTCAATATCAACAGTATACCTGTATAGAGTTTGTAGCTATTTTGCGCTACCGGTAATCTGTTTTATTAAATCTAACCTCAATACCAATTGTTTTAAAATTCATGGTTAATGACTCGTCATATTTAATAGATTTGAAATTCATAAAGTTTAAATCTCACAGAAAAATTTACTAAAAGGCGATGGTTATCGCCCCGTGCATGTGCTACATTTATTCGTTTTCTCACAACCCAATGGTAGGTACGAAGACAAGTTTTGCGACTTAGACTCCACAGAATATTTGTCAATGCATTCCAATCACCACAGAAATTTTTGTCTTGTTAATCTGCACAACACTTAAAGGCCCAGGTATACTATAAATACGCTCCTAAACAATAGAGATTATTTCCTTGCTTGTCACGCTGTAGTAAACAGCTCTAGCCAAGATCCAGTAAAAACGCGTTTTCTGGAACTTACAGGTCGATTATGTCGTACCAAAATGGATGCATGTGAGTATGAATATCACAGCAGTGACTGTGTGTAGTATTCATGACAATAAATATTGTACGAGCTGAGATTTTGGCGAAAAAAGTCAAAAACACGAACCAGAAAAAGGATTGCGTTACTAATCTTGAATAATTCACTACTGTCAATCAAAGTCACGTGATGTTGGACCGCTGAAACAGGATGCGTCATAGGCTATGCAAGTGATTAACAATTTACACTCATTAGCATAGCCACACCTCAAATTCATACTTGCCTGGGGCAAGTGAATTGTTATATGGGGCTGATAACTTGCACATATATGGCGTGGCTTTACTCTTTATTATGTTGTCAAATGTTGTTTTCCTTAAATAATCCTCACAGATTCTTCCATACACACAGGAAATTGAAATAGACAATAACTTCCAGCATTCCGATATCTTCAATGATACATCTCTCCATTACTTTCCAGCAGATAAGATTTCTAAGATTGTTGCAACTGAATTTTGGCAGGAATGCAATGAACCACTATACAAGTCATGTGACAGTCTGGAGATTACACAAGCAAAGTTCAATGTGTAAATATTTCTATAAAAACACTTGTCAGAATTGTCTATGGGTGCATTTTACTATTTTATCATTGTTTTTCTGTGTTCTGGTTGACTTTTACATACCGGTACTCGCCAGTTTACTCTAACAGAAAATGAGAAATAGCTCAAAGTTGCAACTATTATGTTAGGAATAACCTTGAAGTACAGGTAGCACCAGTAGTGTAGTGTATCGTTAAATATTAAGTTGTACTTGTAGTGAACACCAAATGGGTCCACTCTAACCCAGGGAGAGTGCGTCACAGACTATAAAGGATTCCTGTGGCATCAAAATTGTCAAGAACATTTTTTCATTTTGGTCTTTAAAAGGACTTAAATGTACACATGTACACAATATTTACTTTGTTGACAAATTGTTTCTTTAATGGCATGTGTTTTGTGACAATTTTAATTGACTATTCTGTACACGTTACGAGAGGTATCAAGAAGTGTTATATCTGCAGTGGAAAATTCTCCATTCATTCACCTGCCTCTAGAATCCTTTCCTTGAATGCATGTCAT